TGAAAATCGATGCAAGCGAAGCCTTATTGTTCACACTGATTCAACCCAACCATTTGTGACCTAAAGATGATGATGAGGAAAATATCGATTTTTCATTATCTGTTTCCTAAATTAGTGGATGATGGTCAAATGTGATACGTGATATGTGTTCATATGTGATGTAATGTGAGTGTTTTGTGATATGCATTGAATGGAGTTGTTAAGACAATAATAGTGTGTGGGGTATCGCTAGATGAGAAAGTGGAGGCGTGTCATGATATGTGTTAATGCACAGATGGAGGCGTGGTGGTCACTGATTATGTGCTGATGGACAATTATGGATTTAGTGTGGTGCTGCAGTTGATGACAGCGACCGATATATGTGGTTCTAACAATTGATGTTACTGATCTTTTCTTGTCGAGCGTGGTTGCGCGTGACAGTACGGGTGGAGCGGTGGTTCTGAGGGGCCACGCTGGGCGCCTGAACGTGATTGGCAACCGTCGGGGCTAGGCTTTTTGGAGACAAAACCGCAAACTTGGGGCTGTGGCTGGCGGCCAGTGTCTTGGGTCGCCAATATCAGGGGACCCTGGCGCACATCCAGCACTCACTGGGCGAAGGCGCGGACAAGTTTGGTGTCGATGTATGTGACACAACCAGCGGTTCACATTCATGGCATCAGCACGAGCATCGCTTCTCCATGTGGCTGAGTACCGCGATTCACCGTTCCCGCCCAGTAGTGGGTGTACCCTTGTACGACGAGCGTCCCTTCCTGTGTTGAGAACGCCTGTGTTGAGAAGTGTCGCCTTTTCTTGAAAGGCGAAAGCGGCATTTGTGAAGGTGAGGAATTGTACTAGAGTTTCCACGCACTGTGGGGCGAGTGAGCTGGCCCGTGTGCCCATGTGCCAAGGCAAAACGCACACTGGAGAGCACAATGCAGGATGTGTCCAGAGCAGCAACGAAGGTGCTGAATTTTTCTCGCCTCGAAATCATCTCACATCGCATGCAGAAAACCTTGTGGACTGAAAGCACCTGCAAACTACCGCAATTGCCACTGTCTTCCAGCGTGGCATTGCACACAACAATACCCCTGACCCACGGCTGTGGCAGTCTGTTTGTGAGAGCGCAGCTATTCCACAACGCCACCCGTGGCCAGTCGCATGTGCAGCCATCCCAGAATGGGCCCTCGAGACCCCCCCCCCCCAAAAAAAAAACATTTCTGGCAGTTACACAAAAAAAGCATCATCATATATCAATACAGAGTAATCCCGGCACATCACCTCCCAACCCAACCCGAGCTTCTACTGGGACGGCGGTGCACCTGCACTCCTCAAACGTGAAGCAAAAATTCGAAGCCGAATCAAGAACAAGCCCAGGTCCTTACGCCAACGTCTATCAGGTGTCCCCACGCATTCGCGCCCCCACAAAAATCCCGCCGACCTGCGCACCAAAAAGAAACGCTGTGCACAGAGCCTGCGGCACCCAGCCTGGCGTGACTGTCCTGCTGACTGCTACCCAAACTGGACTAATAAGTAACATCTCAATAACCAGGGCGCCACAGAACTTGGATCAACCCCAGTTCCCCAGTACCAGCCATGCACCATCACTCCAAACAAGGTGCACGCATTGTGCTCTAATCCCTGCGCGAGGTGCAGAAAAGGGCAGTGTTCGTCGTATTCTGGCAAATACCAGCAAATGGATCACCCCTGCACCCCACAGCCTCTGGGAGGCAGCTTGAACTAACCTAAGATCTACCACTTCGGCTATCTGTGGGAGCCTCCCACTGTGCGCACACAGAGCTTCTTCTGGACAAACCACTCATCAAGGAGGCACAACTGCATATTTATTTGAACCGCTGCCCCTGCAATAGTCAACAAACCTACCCTCTTCTGTGCCCCATTCCCTGTGCCCCAGCACGTCACCCCCCTCGTTCATTGGCAAACAAATGTGCAGCGGCCACATGAAAACTGGTCGCATAATAATAGGGCCCAACATGGCCCGTAAGGAATGTCCTAACAGCAACAAACAAACTGCCATCACATCTCTCCCATCAGCGCATCCCTGCAATGATAACTCGTCTCCTCCCCGCCCCAAGGCAACAAGTAATGCATTCAAGAGCAAAAACACACTCAGCAGATAGTACGAAACAATCTCCCTCCAGAACTCCCCTTCGTGTCAAAACTTCGCACAAGATTTCACAGGCGCCTCTATTCCCATCCTTTCTAGGGAATCCAGGCCTTTGACTTAGCACACATACAATGGATGCCCGAATGCTGAGCTGGTTGCAGGCCAACATGGTGTCCCAACTTGGCCTGCTCCCAGTAAGCATTGCTTCCCACCCTTTTGCAGTACCTAATTTCACAATCACCTGCAATATCCCCAACAACCGCACAGCACAGTAACCTTACACTGCCAGCAGCATCACCCCCTCATTCCAAATCCCACAGTGCCCTCTATCAACAGCGCAAACACCAAAATGAAAGGCAACAGCACATGCCGTTACACACAACATTACCCGCTCGATGGACCCTGCAGCAACGAATCCAGGCCCATGACAAGCACTTCTCCCAGCATCGAACTTCCTGGCAACAATACCTGAACAAGCCAACACTGGCAGCAGATCTTTGTTTCAATTCTTGGTAGTCACATATGCAGCTTGGCCCTTGCCCCAGTTCCCAAGAGCATGCACAGGCCAACCCCTCCCATCCTTCTCCCCCCCCACCCCCCCCACCCCCCCATCACTCCCCCTGTCATCTTCTTTGCGTTCACATCACGAAATGGCCTTCCCAAAACAGCCCATTCGCTCCGAATGCCACCCTGCACTGCCGACCTCCAAAACTCGTTTGCCGGCCTCCTAGTAGTTCCCCCAGTACTTGAACGTCGGGTCCACAAACCTGGATGGTCCGTACCCGCCCCAGCCCGTGGGGCCCACCATCTGCTCCTGTGGCACCGCCCTTGGGAACTGCCCCAACCCAGGCATAAGCCCCCCAGCGACCCACTTGCCATCTGGATACCACTGTGGTGGATGGCATCCTGCCGGCGACCCCTGCAAGAGGCTGTTCCAGCTGAACGACCTCCGTGAGGCATGCCGAGTGTGCCCGCTGTGCGCCTGTGGCCGGATGTGCTTGCCACCTGGGACTTGGTGGAGCGGCCCAGCCGGCTGGGGCATGGAGTGGATGGGCGCATAGGTGCGGGGGGGAGGCGAAGGTTGGGGAGGCGAGGGCTGAGGAGACGGGCTGCAGGACTTCAACTCCGGACTGCATGGCGCACGCAAAGGGGGCAATCGTCAGGATCGCATGAGGGTGTGGAATGGGTGCAACATGAACATGGCACATTAGTCATGTTGTGCCCCTCCACCGAGTTCACATCAACAATAAACAGTGTTAGACAAAGCTAGATCAACGCCAGTCTTCTTATCCATCAACTAGGCATTCACAGCGTTTGTCAAGGGCACAGGAATAGTAGTGGCAGCGTGGACGCTGATGTGGGCGCGAGTTGCAAGGATGCCCATCACAGTCAATGCAACACAATGGCATCACTTCAGCTCTTTTGTATGTGGTGGGGACAGATGGGAGCAGCAGGGTGCGCCGCTGAGCCGGGGAAAGACTCCGTGCGGCGGATGCTTGACAAGGATCCACAACTCAGCCACGGCAGTGTACTGCTTTTGGGTGAATAGCCTGTGGGTGCGGGGGCACCCCCTGCCTGGGAACTGTCTGAGGCGGAATGCGACCAACGCTGGAGACAAATGAGCTCCCTCACGCGCCGCCGGCGGCTGCAAGCGAGCGGGGATCGCTGGTGATCGACAGGGCACCACATTGCATCGTCGATCGCTCGACGAATGGCAAATGTTGGAGATTGGAGGGCGAAGGGGGCGTGGGAGGCGTCGGCAGGCCGACCATCAAGCATTTGACCGCTCCCATGCAGCTTCAAGGAGTGCACATCGGCACCCGCTACCCACCACGTTCCACACCCGGCGCTGCCGCCGCGAGTCGCTCCTTCCCACACCGCACCGGCCTGCGAATCGAATCATTCCCCCCTTGGCCGGCCCATCCAGCCCCTCCTCAACGCAAATGCCGAACCGATCGGAGTGCACAAAGGCCCCCACGCTCCAAAGCGCAACGGCCCAATCCTTCTGGCGGCTTCGACGAGATGATGCCAAAAACACGGCTAGGATCTGGCCACCCGAATAGATGGGCCAATCGTGGCGCGATCAGGCCCTTGCCCAGCCGCGAACCCAGGCCAGTGCTCCCATGTTCCCCCCGTCCGCTACTGGAAGGGCAGGGAGGGGCGGAGGGCGGCCGATTGCGGGCCGGGGAGGAGGAGCGCGGAAGGGCGGGACGGCGAGGCGCGTCACATGTGAACTAGATGCTGGGGGAACTCAAGAGGAAGCGTGCCCACGCATGCCTCCCCACCGCCGCGATGCCAGCGCCGCACGTGCACAGGCCCGAGGCTCAGGACTGACGTCCCAGACGGGAGCAGTCATTCGACGAATTGCAGCTCAAGATGAGCTTGCCAATCCCGGGCCTGCCGCCCTGGCGCCCTGCCAGCAGGGCAAGTCAGTGCCCAAGGGGCATCAGCCCGATCGCGCCGACCATGGCGGGCAGTGGCTGGCGCCCGCTTCGGGCGCGACCCGGGGGAGGCGGCCCATGGCAGGGGTCCCCGCACGCCGGCCCTGAGTGACGGCTCGGCTCCCGGACGCCGAAAACTCCGCCGAGCTCCGCAAGATTCGCAGCCGCCCTACGGCGCCCGGGCGAACGACGGCCCGCACAGAATGCGCCCGTCAACGTCGACAATCCGTGCCGCGCCGCCGCTCAAGGTCAATTTCGCGCTCCCGATCGACGGCCCCCCCAAAGGCGGCGCTAAGAGCCGGCCGCCGCACGCCCCGCGCCCATCGCCGCGAGCCGCCAGCCGCCCGAAGCCAAAATTTGACTCCAGCGAGATCATCTTGAAGGTCATTTCCCCTCCCCACCCCTTCCCCCCCCTCCCCTGTTTCCCCGTTTCCCCCTGCAGCAAAACCACCCACCTCGAGGAAGGGCTCATTCCATCCCCGCCCCCCCCGCGGTGGGTCTTCCAGTGCTCCCGGTAGCACGCCGAGCCGCAGAACGTGGGTGCCGGCCGCGCGCCCCGCCTCAAGCAGATCAGGCACTGCACGGACGACTCCGCGGAGCACATGGCGCACGCGCCGGACTCCGATGGGCTGGCATCTTCGGCCATGCCTGGCCTGGCCTGGACTGCAGCGGACTGGCTTGGCCACGAGGCCTTTGGGCTCCTCGGAGAGCCAAGTGGGCGGGGGGTCCCCGCGCGGAGCGGACGGCCCCTTGTTATCTACAAGAGTCGCGCCGGCTGCAAACCTGGGGGCAGGGGCAGGTGGAGGGCGTTCGCGTGGCTTTTGTACGGGGGGTGTACGGTGATGGGTTGTGTGCGAGGCGGAATCTGGGGACTGGGAATAGGACAAATAGCTTAGGAATAGTTTGGAGGTAGCTTGGAACGAGATTAGAAATGGTTGGAAATTCCTTCGAAGGGACGGCAGCAGAGGGATGGAGGGTGGGTGTGTGGTGATTGAGCCCGTGGGTGGCGGAATCTGGGGACTGGGGATAGGGCAAGTTGTTTCGGGAAAGGTTTGGAGGTGGATTGGAAAGAGGTTAGAAATGGTTGGGAAGGGGTGGCGGAAGAGGGATGGAGGGTAGAAGGGACGGAGGAGAAAGGAATGGGGGGCATGGAGAAAATGGAATGGAGGGGATGGAAAAAGGGATGGAAAAATGACGGACAGGATGGAAAAGCGGAAAAAAAGGACGGAAAACGAAGAAAACGATAGATAGTAAGGAAAGAAATGTTCAACAGATAAACGCACGCGCGGACACGCGCCTTGCGCCCGAGCCACCACCCGAGGGCGGGAGTCCATTCCAGGACCGCCACGGGCGGTGCCCCCGCGCCACGGCCCCATGGCGACGGACGGCAACGACTTTGAGGACGAGCGCCGGCGCCGCATCACGCGCAACAGGCAGATGCTGTCCCACCTGGGCGTGACCAAGATGGCCGGCGAGCTGGTCCAGGCGGGTCGGCAGGAGATCGACCGCAAGCGCCGGAGGCTAGTGGAGCCGGTGGGAAGTTGCGGCCCGGCGCGGCGATCCACGCGTCACCTGGCGCAGGTGACCCGGGAGAAGATCAAGAAAATGGCCGACCGGGCTTCTGATTCTGGGGATGGGGAATCGGCATCAGGGTCCAGCGGGGAGTCGGGGGGCAGTGGGAGTGAATCTGACGAAGGTGACGAGGAGGAGTACGACCCGCTGGAGGGGGAGGGGGGGTCAGAATCGGATGTGGGATACAGGGGGGGACTGCGGCGGGGAAGGTCGAGAGGGAGAGTTGCAGGGGAGGATTCTGCGGAAGATGATGGATTTTGGACGGACGAGGAGCGTGATTTGGAGGTTGCGATAAGGAGGTCGATCGAAGATGCGCGGAGGGAGACCGGCGCGCCCACCGGGGTCGGCGGGGGTGATCGGGAGGTTCGAATGGATTGTGATGATGGTGGCTGGAGGCGCACCCGCAGGGAGAGAAAGTTGCCACAGGAGGGGGGACTGGATGGGGAGGGAAGGCAGGGCGCCCCTGGGGGTCCTGTTGGTCCCTCCACCTGCGGGGAGGAAGGAATTGCGGGGAATGACGCTGAGGGTGGGAAGTCGAATGGTGGGAGGGAAAGAAAACGGGGCAAAAAGATGAAGGAAGATGGGGGTGACGGGGGGGAAGGGGCCCCTCGAGCCCAACAAGGCCGGGGGGGAAAGGCGGGGGGAAAGAGGCAAGGTGGCAGGAAGACGGGGGGTGGAAGGGGGCTGAGGGCCGCCCTGCAAGAATGGCCAGAGCCGACGGCACCAGCAGTTGCAGAGGCATTTGGGATGTTTGACAAGCGCGGGTCGGGGCTTCTCACTAGGGAGGCGCTGGTGACTGTGGCTTCAGACTTGGGCATGCACCTGGGGGAGGATGCGGTGGAGGGAATGATGGATTTGGCAAAGGGGGTGGCTGGGAGCGGGGGTGCGGGCCTGACGCTGTCAGACTTCCAGGTGCTGGTGGCCCACTTGGGCAGGAAACAGAAGGGGGCCAAGTGAATTGGGGTTGTGGGAGACTTGAGATTGGAGCGAATTCAAATTTGGACATGGCCTGTAACCACGATGTAATATGCCCTTGGCTGTATTGTCAGGCATTGAATTGCCACAGGCATGCCTGCACACGGAATTCCAGGAAGTTGTGATTTCAGCTGGATTACGTATGCCTTCTCAGGGCCACAACGTTATTCACCAGGACAATCAACGTCTTGGCAACACGATGTGGAAGAACACGACGTGGAGAATGTACTGCTGCCTCTGCTAGTTGACTTCCCTGTCTTTTAGTAGTCATTGGCCCTGGGGCTCGAACTACAGTGACAGCTGAAAGGACAGGTGCAGAATCCGAACGCCAGCAGCCAATTGGCCTTGTGCCCTTGACATTCTCACCAGCATGATGAAGTCCTCTGGCAGCCATCCATGGAGCCAATTGCTGGGTTATAACAATCTCAGCACAGAAGTTCTAGCAGAGTGTGCATTTCCAAAGTACAACTGCCATCGAGCAACAATTGTCGAGCTGCACTGGGAGGTCCACAGTTTATTGATGGTTTTTGCTGCCAGGAACGAGGTTCTGCAGTTGAACATGCTTACGGGACTGTGGAGCAAGTGGGGCCTGGCACAGTGCTTACAGGCAGCAGCAGCAGCAGCAGCAGCAGCCACGCATCACTGGTACCCAGCAGTATGTGTGCCCGTTACCTTTGATCCCTCTGTTGGACAAACATCTCACCAGTCCAGGTGGTTCCAGCCTCAAGAGTTTGGCTCGCTTATTGTGTTTTGAAGCCGCAAGAATGCTGCAGTGCTAGCAAGTAAGTAGGTCTTCTGCCACTCCTTTAGGCTTCTGCAAGTTGGCATGCAATTCCTTGACCGGCTTCAGCCTTGAAGGCCAACAAAAGTTCAGCTTGTTCAGCGATTCAGCTGGTTCAACCCACAGGTGTTGTTTTAGACCCTGTGGGCAGCATGACAGCTGGCATTTTGACACATCTTGGCATGAGCTTGGTTGGCTGTTGTGTTGGACGCTCTGCAGCTAGGCCTGGAAGATTGACAGATGGTATGGGTCTCTGCTGCTGAACGGCTCTGTTTGGTGGTGTGAAGAGTGGCGATACAATCCACCCTCTTAACGGGCGTTGCTGCTGAGCCACTGTGCGTTCATCCTTCAGCATTACCCTGTTGATTGTGCTTCCAGTCCTCCTCCATCCCGGCTTGAAGTCTGGCAGCACAGCAGTGACCACAGTCAGATGCAGTGCATGTGACTGTTGCTTGAACATGGCAAGTTTCTCAAACAGAACTGAGGAACCATCACGGTGGTGCCAACATGAACGCTCAAGAACAAGTGCTTGCTCTTGGGCAAGCCTTAGAAACGCTTTAGTGGAAGCTTGTGGGTCGCTGTCTCTTCTGGTCGCTGAGATTTTGGGGTGGGTCAGATAACCTGCAAGTTTTGGACGTGTGTCAGCAGCATAGCTGCACACCATGCAGGTCAATATGTGCAGGCTCTTTCATGCGACGAGTCTGCATCAGGCTTGTGACTTTGGTGGGCACGCTCAGAGCCCTGGCATCAAGCAATAAACTCTTTTCCACCTTGCAAATGATAGAGACCATGAAGACGCAGTGAAGGCAGTGCTGTGTGCTGGAGTAGCAGCAGATCTTTCGATGTTGCATGCCGATGTTGGCCAAACATTCCATGGCACCTGCAAGTCGATGGATGGCAGGAGGGCCTGTGACAAGTGCTTGTCAGACGACATCTGCGCAAAACTCGCATTGCCATTCTAAACCAAATTACTGAATTTGTGTGCCCTAGTGGATGCCATTCCAGCCATCCCCCCCTCCCAGCGCAGCGATCAGTTGGCCGTGCTGGTCATGGGATCGGCCACTGTGAGTGGCCCTGCGAAAGGCGTACTCTGTGTGCCAGGAGATTGTTTGCAATGTTCAGTGGGCTGGCAGTGCCCCTCTGTTCAGATATATTTTGGCAAGGAAAAAGGGCAGCCACAGGCCAATGAAGTGCAACATCTGCGAAGCATGGTTCGTTCCCAACAGGGTGCGACAGCCTTCTATCAACCAAAACGTCCGCTCGGCAAGTGTGCATACCCCTGTGTGGTATCTCCACAGCATATCTTCCCCGACCGCCCTACTTTGCTTGCGTGCGGGGACAACCAACCGGGATGCACCCAGTGCATCCTAAGAGGCTGGCCTCAGGAAACATGCACAAGATACAATGACATGACAGCGAGGTCCATGATTGACATATGATTGTCTGGGAGTAAAGGGACACGCCTGTCGGTGATCTGTCTGCAACTCTGTTCCCTCAGCTGCGTCCCTGTGCACGTGGCCGTGCGTGCCTCCAACGTACCCCCATCCAGAATCCAGCGCAACATCAGGTCTATGTCTGGGTTCAAATTCTTGGGACTTGGGTACTGTTCTCAGCACCGGTCTTGGCACCAGTCTATGTTGGGTGGATGGGCACTTACGTGTTTGGACTACCCTCTTCTTTACACCTAGCCGGGTGGTTTGCTGGAGCGCTGGCACGTCCCATCAGAGATACTGACGAAGGTAGGCAGGGCGGAGGGGCGGGGACCGTGGGTTCGAGTACACCGCAACGGTTTACGCCTGAGCAAAGGTGCAACAGGTACTCTGTCCCTTACAACCAGTCCGTTTATCAGTGTCCTTAATTCAGTTCCTATGGTCTCAGCACATCTTAATGTGTCCAAACATTAATAACACTCGATCAGTTCTGGTCACAACGGTACCCGGTTCCATCCCCGGTCAGACATCCTCTTCACCATCCGCACATTGAATATAGTCCAGTGCCTGCTTGTGGGGAACGCCCAACAACACGCCGCGATGCGTGCACATTCTCCCCCCTGGCCCCACCACGTGATCCCATGGGATCACCGCGACGTGATCCCATTACTCACCCCCGCCAGAAACCCCTGTCCACTTACGTCACCCACCTGCGCCCCCCGCCAGAATCCCGGGGTGTGATTTTTAACCACCCCTGGGGAAGCGCCCGTTTTCAAGGCAACCCCGGGCACCGCCCTGCCAGCTTGACCCCGCATCCCTTTGGGCGCCCGACTTTCGGCCCACGGGCGCTTTCCGCGGTGAGACGCCTTTCGGAAGGCGCCGAAAGATCGAAGCGATCGCCACTGCGGCCGCGGGGTTGGATCGATCGGCGGGCGATCCGAACGGGAGGGGCGCGGGAGGGTGCGAGGTGGGATGCGCGTATGGATGTTGTCTTATATTTTTCGAGAGGAGAATAATTGGGTTGAAGGGGGGGAAGGTGGGTGGGTTGAACGGCGATGGACCAAGGTTGACCGGTGGGCGTCAAGGGGGGGATTCACAGACTACCGCTGGGATGGCAATGGACGCCAGGGGGGATGCATGGGGCCACGCCGGGGGGCACTGGGGCGCCGGCGGGGTGGCGATCGAGGTGGCCCGGGGGCGCATCAGGTCGCCTCGACGCCCTTGCGCGTGCGGGCGGGGGCGCTGCTCGCGGCGCGGCCGGCCATCCCCGGGATCCGATCCAATTGTAATTAATTGCCCACCGCAGAAGGGTGGGAGGGGAGGGCGGGTGGGCGGGGATTTGAGGATCCAGCCCAGTGGACTGGGTCCGGGCGGTCGGTATCCGGCCCGCCCGGCCAGAGCGGGCGCGCCGTCTCCGCCTCCGGCGACGGATGCGGCCAATGCGCCGTCCGCCGCGCTCTGGGTGCCCCCGAGGGCTTCCCCGCCGCGAGGGCGGCCCCCCTGGGGGCCTATCCGGTGGGAAGGGCCCGCGATGAGCCGCAGATTGGTCTCGGCCGGTGGCTGATGGGTTAGCGGGCTCGAAGCCGGTGTGGAGGACCCCGCCGGCCGGTGCCAGGTGGGCATTTCTGCCGCCCCGGCCCCTTTTCGCATCGTCTCGGATGACCCGGTGCGGCGCCAGGAGACGAAGCGATGGGGTCCCGCGGGCACGGGCTCTTTGCCAACTGAGGCGTGCGCGGTCACAGCGGGGACTGACCGCAGGGTCAGGCAAACGGCTGCCGATTACAGCTCCAGGCAAATGGATGGCTGGAGGGTGGCCGGGGGGGAGATTGTTACAAAGAAGGAAAGAAGCAGGCCATACAAAGGGCGCCCCCTCCTAAGCAAATGTACGCGAGTGTCTTTGACACGCTCTGAAAAAGGTGACACAGAGTCTCCGATGCTGAATGATGAGCGCACAGCGCCAGGGGGGCTTGGGGCGTAGCAAAGTCTTCTGACGGGTGGTCGCTGACGAGTCACGGCATGCCGTCCGACGCAAAGGCTGTCTAAAATCACGTTCAGCGATTGTGATCCCCTGCGCACAGCCCGCGCTTCAGGGCCACCGTCCACACTCACAGTGGTGCTGTTGGATGACGACTGCTGGCCAACATGCTTGCGTCGCGGGGCGCCAACGCCCTGGGAAAGAAAATACTGTGCGGTTGGGGGGCTCAAGTTCCGTGGTCATCGCGTTCAGAGGTTCGGAGGCTCTGGCCATCGCCTTGAGGTGGCCATTTTGGGCTCCAACTGTTCTTTGGGCGATTTTCAAGTCTGAAGCTGGTCTTCCTCTTTAGAGCCACCACTTCGCTGCCATTCTTTGGGCGTTCCTGAGCAAATCTTTGTCATCCACCTTGCAAACGGTAGAATATTTTCCAAAGGCTGCCGCTTTCCTGTATCAAGATTTGAACGTAGGGGCAACTCTTGGTGGCATTCATGGAGGTGTCTCTCTGCCACCATGTCCGCCCAATTGTGTCAAGCAGCTCAGGTGAATGCACGAGACCCTGGCCTCAGTTCCGATTCAGCTGTGGCAGTGTGTAGAGGCTCTTCTTGGGTTCAACGCAGGCAGTCATTGAACAGCAGTCTGCCTTTGTTGTCACCTACCCTGCCCAACCACTCCAACAAAGTGGATACAAAATTTGTGCTCGTTGGCTATATTATGTGCACGGCATCCCTAATTTTGGAGAAAGGGTACTGCATCATCATATGGCACAAATCCATTCCCAGGAAATCATGCTTCCTAGAAAAGCAGCCCTGTCAACTGCTGTGCCAGTCTTCATCGTTCAACAGATATCATCGTCTTGTCACCATTTGAATCTTCATGTGCGTGCCCATCTTTCGCCTTTGTATTGGGAAAGATAGCGCAGCAGCTGCAGCCCATGAAAACTGCTGGCAAGCCTCTGTCCACCGTCTTGTGATGAATGGGCATTGCATTGTCCATTCTGCTTGTAGTAGCATGAATGCTTGAGGAAACACGATCAAGGACAAGCAAGACTGTAATGTACTGACCCTCACTCCACTTTCCCTGAAACAGGGTTCTTTGCCAGGTTCTTTGCCACATTGTGGGAAGCACTGTCCAGCAAGATGTGTAATATTGATCGATCCAATGAAACATTCTCGAATGGATAATTCCGGGTCCATTATGAACAGCAACTTGCTGAATGAAAGAAGCATTGCATTTGTTTCTGTGGAATTGGGTTCGCGCTTGAGGACGTTGACTGCCATAGGGACAAAGTGTGATGGGAGGACATCTGTGATCACCATACTGTATCAGTGATGGCAGTAATAATGATTATGTGCTAATAAACAAATCTGAACAGCCTGGTGTGCTGGCTGGGTAACCTGAAAGTCAATACTTCGATCTTGCACCTGCTTTACCAAAACTTATCAAAAATACAAAAGTTGTATCCAAAATTTTGCACAGGAGTAGAGAATGCCTTTTTAATAAAAGAATGTTTATAAATTTGCTATTGAGTTGCTAATTGTCACTAGATGAACCACAGCCCTCACACCTTCTGTTCAAGTGACGTCGATGGCCTTCTTCATGGGTGGCATCCAGAACAGGCCTCTGCCATTTCGAACATTTTTGAATATTGTTATCCACTAACACAACAAAGGAATCAAATGTCAATACATAGCCAAGGTTATACTGGAATTAGTTGGCAAATGTGTTCACGGGGATAGCAAAAAGAAGGAGAACTGGCATTCGTCCGTGCAGGTGGGATGGTCCATGGGTGGGCTGGAGGCCACGGAGGTGCCAGGGCTTCAGGTGCAATCCAGGAAGGATGGCAGCTGGCGAGACGCCAACCTGTTGCTGACGCACATTGTTGTCACACCCACAGGAGTGGTGCTCAGGGTGGGACTTGGGTGAGTTGCACCCCTAGGCTGTGCTTGTGAAGATGGGGCACACCAACGCCCTTCCACCCTGCATTTTGGTGTCTGTGGCCTTTTTTTGGACATGTTTCCTCACATTTATGAGTCATCGTAATATTGTATTGTATGTATGATGGAATGCACAATCTCAACAAACAGAAGATTGACGCGCTGGGGAGAGAAAAAGGAGGACACAAGGGGGAAAGGGGTAAGCAATACTCCTCCACATTGTTGAAGAGTCTTTTCATTGCATTAAGAATGAATAGAATCCAAAGAACACGCAAATCATGAAAATAATAGGGATGGAATCTTGAAGTGTTGGGAGGTGCATGGTGTCATGGACTGGGGTGCCTGGATTGGCGAAGCAGATTCTGGGACAACACAAACTGCATCGAAGGCTGCCTTCCAAACAGAAGAGAAACAGACCACACAACAGCAGCAAAGCCAGGGCAAGAATGTTGTATTGGACTGCTTCCAATGGGTGAAGTACGCTGCAAGAATTTAATGGCCATTCTTTCTTGTCCTTTTCTATTGGATATTTGGTGTGCCCTTATGAACCAGGTTTTGAGGTATTCTTCTGGCAGGCATTATGAGATCCTTGTACCTGCTTGGAAAACTAGTGCTGTCTATCAATGAAAACTCCACAGAAATGTATGCCATGACAAGTGTATCTTTCTAATGTTGTCGTTATGGATACATTCATTCCATCATTGTCTTCTTGTGTCCCAAGAATTGTTGGCAAGTGGATGCTCACCTATGCACGTCCCGGCAGGATTGATGCAATTTGCAGTGGCTGCATCTGTCAACAGAGTTGAGGAAGTACTGCCCTTTAACGTATAGGTGGTGCCAGGCCTTGTTCACCACAGAAGAAAACCAGAAAACGTCCAATCCAGTTGTCCATGTGGTTCCATGGGACACCCCCCATGGATGGCCATTGTTCAGAAAGATGACAAAAGGGAGCTGCTAAACGTCTGTGTGGAGAAAAAGATGGCTGCCCTTCTGTCGGAATGTGATGAGCAACGCATTTGCAGTCCATGCCAAGAATCAGTGCCCTTCAGGGTTGGGACATGGTGGATGTTTCTTGATAGGAAAGAAAAATGTGGTACAATGCCCATCTTAGATCACAATGCCCTGCAATGCATGCATCCATATAACCACGCAACCACACAACCATAAGACCACACAACCCATGTAGCCTTGTTATCATGTGAGCATGTATCCTGTGTTACCATGCAACTATGCAAGCATGCAGCCATGCAGCCACGTAAACATGGAGCCTGCAAGGGCTTGCAGTGGGCCTCCCATCAAATTCAGATTCCACACAAACTGCAACGCAATGCTGCATGGCTTGACATGGCGAGATTACTGTTGATTACTGTTGTATATTCTTCCGCTCCACATGAAAAAATTATAGCGTTATGCTCTTTGCCCCGCACTTGTTTTCCAGAGCATTATTTTAATTAATTTGACATGGCTTTGCTCAAATTTTATTCAAAGAGCATTGTGTATGAGATTGTCTTCTCCACCGAAAAAGGCCAAGCGTTACGTTGCTGTGCGGAAGGGTTTAAAAACCAACAGTAATGAGCTGCATGTGCTGTTGTGCAGTGAGCGTGCACTGGACTATGAGCTCGTCGAGTTGGGGGAGATGCGCAAGCGGCTGCAATGCACACCCAGGTGCTGATGACACCCAAGACCAACTCCTGGCCATGAGCAAGTCTTGGCCTTGTCGTGAATTTCTGGCTGAATTTTTTGCGACTGCTTTGCGGTGGCAAACTGCGCTGGTGCCGCCCATGCCTGCAGGGGGGATGGTCATGCAGCATCTTCAGTGGAACAAATGCTTGAATGTGAAGTTGTCCGCTCTTCCACTGCTTCCCAGCACCGATTCTGTCCTTTCTGCCCTTTCCTCAAGGTGGTGATCTGCATGCAGTTTTGCAGTTTCGTGCTTTAGTCATGCTTGGTCCAGCGCGTTTTTGTGCTTCAAAGTACTGCACCATATTCACTTCCAAGCACTGCATCAAAGTACTGCATCAGAGCACTGTGTCAGAGTAGTGCGTCTTGGAATACAGTGACCGTATGTCTGAACTGTGTATCGGCGCTCCACCACAGGACGGCTTCTGAGGCTGATGTCGACCACCTCAAGGCGGGGCAGCGTGTGCTGGGATGCTTGCAGCCGCAGGGCCCGGACAGAAAGTGGTGAGTTTTCGCTGCCACAAGATATTCAAAGTTTCATAGTAACGCATTTGGCCTTTCCTTTGCAGAGCCGCAATAAAAAGCGTAAGGGTGCCTAGAAAGTCTAGGGCAGCCCCAACTGCAGTGCGAGGGTCTCCCGACTGATCGTGACATCTAGCGGTCCCAGATGCATGAGTCGCTGTGGCAGAGAACCGGCTTTCGAGGCCATGCGAACTCAGCATTGTGGCTGTCACCATGATGTGGGGCCCCCGAAATAGCGTCCTGTCGAAAAAATGCGGAGAAAAATAGCAATGGTGAAATTTATGAGGCGGAAAGGTTGAATATTTCGAGGTAGTAAGAGACACAAAAGCTGAGGGGCCAGATGCACCTGAGCGCAAATCTTTTGCGACCAAGATTGTGTTGAAAATTTGTGATGTTCTACGGTTGAAACGAGATTCCAAAATTTGTTGTAAACACCATTTGGAATTCCGTTTCTATGACGGGTCACCGCGAAAATTCTCAAGCGAAATTGTCAAGTGAAATTTCTCGCAGTGTTTGGCGTGTTGAAAAGTCCGTGGTGCAGCGCATGACTTGATGAGTTTATGTGGCTGACGGCACCTATACAGTATCTGTAAGCAGTATATCTATTGTACTGTGTGCAGTTGTTTGTGCTGTGTGCCACCATTGCTAGTCACTCTTCTTGGTGCCTGTCCGCAGGTACGATTGCGAAGTCTTGAAGACCGCTGTCACAGGTGTGTGAGGCCAGGTCGTGGCATTGTGCTTTCCAAACTTTTTTTGGCACAATTTTTTATCATTCATTATTGTATTGAATTTTGGTACTCAGGTTTAAATCACATATGTGTTGCTAGACGGGGTCGTCGTGGTTGCTGTTGTGGATGCGCTGGGCGTTGCAGGCCAGTCGATTTTTCTCTATTTTGTATTCTTGGCTTTCCTTTTGTCCTGTATTGCTCTTTGTTTCTTGTGCCCTTTGTGTGTGTTTGCGTGGGGGGTGGGTGGGTAAGTGGGTGTGGGTGGGGGGGTGGGGGTGGGGCGAGTAGGAATACAAACCAATAATTTTGCTGCATATTTTCTTGGGTTTGTATTCTTGCTATGCTGTATCGAATTATTGGCGAAGACCCCACGTGCCATGCCCCCCGCCCCCCCGAGCAAAAGAACGAAAAAAGGATGCAAGAATACAAAAGAAAGAAGAGAAACTTAGGCAGCAAAATGAGTAAACCATAACTAAATCAACCGATGAGCGATGGCATCGCAGCCGTGATGAACAAATCAATCTGTCGTTTGGCAGATGGGGGAGCAGCGGCGGAGGTGCTGGTACGATGGGATGGGACGGAGGGCAGGGGCGTGGTCAGCGGCTGGCTGAGCCTGGGCCAGCGGTCCCTGAAGATACCCATGCTGGAAGACGTGTCCCAGCACCCCAAGTTCAAGGAGTGGGTGGGCATGCTGGAGCGGCACTCTGAGAAGTCACAGCAGCGGGTGTGCGAGGGGAGGCACCCGCAGGGCACCGGATTGGTGGGGAGTCATTGAATCAACATTCGTCACGTGTTCTCTGAAAGTGATGTAGTATTTGTAATCAAAGAAAAAATCCGTCACGCGTTCACTTCTTTTTGTGATCTGTTTTTTGCCGTTAGTTTTGGTATTATTTATTGTTTGCTGTTTTGGAATGTCAGCGAATGCGTGATCGGCGTCCACGTGTCTTTTGTTGGGGCGGGGTTTGGCGCCTGGGCTCTTAAATCTTATACAAATTTTGGGATGAAGGAAGCACGGCAGGCAAGTGCGTGAAATGGACATTGCCTGTGCTGCACATTGGATTTCGATGGACGATTCATGAACACCGCTTTGCGTGGCCGGAGTGGGGACCTGACGGATATCTCATTGTCTTGTTGTTTGAATTTCGTGATGAAGATGATGAGGTGGCCGTCTTCTTTGTGCCGTTGCTGATGGCGGCTGGCTGTGAACTCTGTTTTGGGAAAATGTGTTGCGAAGCTCAGTGGTTTAGGGTTCTTGATTTTGCCACTTTCTCCTGAAAGGTTGTTTGTGGCCTTGCGGCAGGAAAATGAGCCCCCGGCCGCTGCCGTTGTCACCCAGCCTGGCACGAGGACGGACCCCATCGTCGTCGACCTGACCGCCTCCCCCACGACCACCGCCTCCCACGCCTCGGACAGGGTGGAGCTGGTCGCCGACCCGCGCATCGGCGAGGTGGCGGGCCCCAAGGCCAACGGTGCCCAGGGCCCCGCGCCCAGGTCCCCCGGGCCCCCCGGGGGGACCCAGGGGCCCCTGTGTGCCTTAAGGAACGGCCACCCGACGGCCTTGGCCGCGCGCCCAGTCCGCGAGGCGTCGCCGATCGGCCAAGGGGGGGCCGAATGCCAATCGGCTGGGGGTCTTGGGGCGGTGGATTTGGGCAATGGGGCCGGTGGCGGGTTTGTTGTGGGGGCCGAGGGGATTGCAAATCCAGAGGGCGACGGCGGGCTGTCCTGTACGGAGAGGATGCTGGACGATAGCGACGGCGAGGATCAGGCGGCGGCTCGCGGCGTGGCGGGCGGATCAGCGCCGTTCGGCGCGGTCGGCGTGGCCCATTCCCTGAGCGTCCCGGGGGCCCAGGCGGGAGGGCGGCAGGTGGGAATTGGGACGCCGGCCAGGGGGTACCCGGACTTGGGCCCGGCGGCCCACGCGGGGATGGCCTACGGGCCGCCGGGCCCGGCGCTGCAGGTGGCGGGGCTCAGGCCGCCGGGTCTGGCTTCCCTCCCACCGGTCGTGGGCGTGTCGGCGCCCCAAGTGGGTCCTGGGGCCCGGCCGGCTTACCTGTCGGTCCCGGGGGGCCGCTACCACGGCGGGCTGGACCCGCTGGTCGTGCCCTGGCGGCCGGACGCGGTCCCCCGAGCCCAGCCCGGCGGCCCGGTGTGGGGTTCCGCGCCGCGCCACTACCTGCCGATCGGCGCCCAGGTGCCGATCGGTGGCCACTGGCCGGGAACGGTGTCCGGAATGGGCCCCGAGTCCCACGAGCTGATGGCTGGCCCGGGCTCCCACGGATCGATGCCGGGGATGGGAACTTTGGGGGGCGTGGTGGTGCACCAGCCGCGCGGCGCACCGCAGAGTCTGCTGACCGACGAGAGGCTGACCGACCTGGACGGCCCCCTGGCCGGATCGGATCGGCGTCGATCGGATCTCGGGCCCCCGGGCCCGCGAATTGGTCAACGGCGACTAACCCACGCGGGTCGGGAGGGGACTGACGCCCGGGCGGCGACGGTGGACCTGTACTGCGACGAGTGTGCGCTGGAGGAGCCCCAACACGGGGCCCGGGTCGCCGGACCTGGGGGTCCGCCCCCGCCGCCCTTCGTCGTCGCCCCCTTCGCCAGCTTCGCCCCCGCCGCCAAGTCCCACCTTCGGAGCCTGCAGCCAATGTACGGCGCGGGCCCCCGGGACAAGGTCGCCGGCCTGGTCAATAGCGCGGTCAACAAAAAGTCAAACCCGCTCAACAAAGGTCAAACGGCGAGCGACTTTCGGGCGGCCGCGCTGGCCCGCGTGCCGGCGCTGAGCTCCCTGCCCGGTGCGGTGGGCCACGGTTCCCGAGGCCCGGAGGCGTCGGGGCCCGGGGGCCCGGGTCGGGCGGGGCCCCAGGGCCCGGAAACGGCGTCCGTGGATCCCGACTTAAAATCACAAACTGCGTCCCGTGCGAGGGGACAGTCCTGGGAGAGGCGGGCTGGTAGGGAAGCCGCATCGAAGGTGGAGGCGGACTGGGGCGATGAGGAGGACGGCGAGTTTTCGGCTGAAGGCTTGTCCCGCCTGGGGATACTGTACTTGGCGGCGTGTTGCTTTGCAGACGCCGGGCCTGGCCCCGGGCCAGAGCAGTTCCGGGCGGCCAGGAAGGTGCCGGGCGGGGGGGAGAACGTGAAGCGGCGCAAGCTGTCCTGGCAGGACATCTGACCAGTGTGCCAGCCTTTCTGTTTTCCCTTTTTTTGTCTTCGATTTGGCCTACAAATTCGGAATTTTAGGGTTTTTTTCGCGCAAGGCTGAGCTTTGAAGGACTTTTGCCGTGGCTTGGGACGGTGTGGGCGGCGTAGCTGGGTAGGAGAGGTGTGCCCCTAATTAGGGAAGAGTGGTGCAAACATTAGTGGTGCTTGCCAGTAATTTGTTTTGCTGTTTTTCCTTGGAAGGCTACCAGGCCCCGGGGTCCATTCGGGGCCGGCAGAGGGGGATTGGCACTGCAGGTATGCACGGAGGGGTTGCACCGGGGCAGGCGCCGTGGCGATTTTGTGGGCGTTTTGGTGCACGAGGAAGTGATATTGTTTATATTTGATTGATCAATCAGGAACATTCCTGTTGCGAAATGTGGCTCTGGATTCGAGCTATTCCGGCCACGCCGAGCTCATGGGGGTGTCTGCTGCATGGACGACTGCGCCCTGATCGAAATCCAGAATTCCGTTCTTAAGCAAGCACGTGACGTAACCTTCTATTGTCCTACGTCAATCCCTCGCCATTCGATTGAAATTTAAAGGACACCCGTTTCATCACACTTGGCAATAGGCATCAGTATGCAAGTGGTATACATAATATGCATGGTGCATGATAGACTGATATATGATATGAGAATTTTGTGAGGTGAAAAGTCAAACAAGCGCATAAAACTGACATGACGGAGCATCGCTCTGGCGCCTTCCAAGTGATGGTTGCGACAACGATTCCACAGCCGCGACCTGATCCGCACCGGCAGGTGTGTCACCGTGGCGAGACAGAAAACAAGGCGGCATCAAGCGCGCCGCCGTCAACATGGCCTGAGGTGGGTGCCACGACTTGACTGCTGTGGTGCTGTACTGCTGTACGGAAATGCTGTAACAGCAGTTGCGGCACTGCCTGGAGCGATGCTGTTGACCCAAGCTGAGCGACCCAACAAAGCGCTCTTTCCGACAGCTGTTACGGAATTGGCACAGCGTAACACCAACCTCTGAGCACTGAACAAAGTCCTTAGGAAAACGTGCTGGACAGAAATACAGAGTGAAAATTCCAAGGCAAAGGGGCAAAATTATGCCAACATTGAGTGGTATATATATGCTTCTAGCGACATCCGGAAGGGGCGTGTGGCGTTCGGCACCTTTGGGTGTGGACTGTGCCTGACATGGCGGCTGGGCGCACCTGAGACATGGCGGCTGGGCGCAAAGGCAACTGTTTAAGATGCTCTGATTCGTGGAGTCAGCGGAAAACCATCACCGATTCCGCATCATGCTCTGTCACATAGTCTTTAGCATTTGTGCGCAATGAGCGGAAGAACCAGCGATAATCAGAGTAGTTGCTTACTTCGCAGACTGAATTGTTGAAAAAAAAAAACATGTCGTGTAACGGGTGCTGGGCGCTCGTCAGTATGCGGCACTTTAAAACGTGCTTGGATTCGCACAAGCCCTTCATCGCCCACAAGGCGCAAGGGCACCGCTTTGTAATGTCGAAGGCAATTTGGAAGGGCAACAGCTTCTGAGCAAGAAGTACTTGGGAGGAACTGTAATGGGGCTCTCCTTTCCACAGTCCATGTTAAAATTCTGTGCACAGAGCACTAGTGAAAACACAGGCCAAAGTACACGGCTTTGAAAATCACGCACCGTGCAAATCGTGTAATTTGATTAAAAACCGTGTAAAAATCGTGTTATATCATGTGTTTATCCTGCATTTATAGTATGAAAATGGGACCAAACCCTGTAGTAACGATTGAGTGAGTGTACATGCTTTTCACATGTTCGGCACGGTTTTGCACGATTTTTGCACAGTTCGAAACCGTGTATTTTGACAGATTTTTTACTTGTGGAAGCTTGTAGCTCGAAATCTGGCCCCGAGATCGTAAACTTCGCCCGCCAACTTGTCAAAGAAATCTTAGACCGCGCTGGGCAGAGCATGGAGCAAGGAACATTCACGCGATTATTTTGGCGAATGCCATCCACCTGTAATTTGTGTAGAATTATGTGCAACGGCGTGTGTACAGTATCATCGATGCAACGCCGAGCAGTGCCGCAGCGAGACCATTGTGCCACCATCGACGCAGCCCTTGCACACGCATCAGCGCCTGTAAATATTGACACATGGGCATTCGCTGAAGCGTTGCCGGGCATTGCGCCGCTTACAGCGCAGCCACGCTTGGCGTACGACACTGCGTCAACTACTGCCCTTTGTCCAGATGCCAAGCTGATGGCTTCAGAGCCAGATCAAGGGAAATCCAGCAAGGAAAGTGGCATCGCAAACGCAGCAAGTCAGAATCTGCCGACCAAGGTGATTGCACGAGGCGCTCTCGTTGGAGCACGTCGATTCGCGTGCACATTCGCACATGGTTAACAGCCTTTCATGCAAAATGCCTATAACGTGGTCGCGGAAAGTAACAGAATTGTGACTTTGCGCGAAAGGAAAGCTTCCGGTTTTGATGATTCCGCACTGCTTGCACACAAAGAAGTTTTCTGGGCAGTCCGGCAGAATTGCGCAACTGAGTTGTTGCGCACAAAGGGAATCCCTTTGCCCAATGAATGCGCGGGAGGTGCGCGAATTCGCTCCACTAGGAATGGTGGGAAATCGCCCAACGCACATGCCATGTACCCATTGGGTGTCCTTTGGTCCAAACGTGGCAGAACTGTGGCAGTGGGCAATGGTTTTCATCAGTAGAGGCCAAGGACAAATGTGTGCACGGGGTGCACATTCACAGGACGAGGAGCTGGTGCGAAGTTGCCCACAGCGCATTGGTATTCTTTGGTGGAAACGTGGCGGAACAGTGGCAATAGACAATGGTTTTCACTAGCAAAGGGCAAGGATAAGTCCGCGCGACGCGCGAGCATTTGTTCTCGCACACATGGCCGTGTTTAGCACAGTTTCTGTGCCCTGGGAGCAGCCTTCCCGCACACCATTGTTTTCGCACATTGGTAATCAGAACGTGGCCTTCAGCACAATGTGCCGTTCTTGCCGTTATAGGCATTTTGCATGAAAGGCCGTTGGTTCTAGATTGGGAGAGCTTTTCAATCCTCTAAGGGGTCACACGCACACACACAATATTTGCTGTCAACGGCTCCCACATTGGCTCACACATCTTAATGCCAATCGTTTTGCGGGTGTTTGTTGTATTCTACGATACCAGTACTCGCTGCTCATTCGGATACACCAGTGCCGTTGGTTTTTAAACCCTTCTGCATTGGAAAATTTTGATCATTACACTTTCTACTCCGCATTTGTTTGTTGTATTTTACCGAATCAATACTCGCTTCTCATTCGGACACACCAGTGCCGTTGGTTTTTAGACCCTTTTGCATTGGACATTTTTGACCGTTAAGCTTTTCGCTCCGCATTTGGTTTTTCAGAGCGCTATGTTTACTGTGACGTCATTCGCACTTTCCGCCAGCACTCACACATGGTCGCTACCAGGCACGGGAAGCAAACTGCAACCAGATGTGTTACAAAATGATTGTTCCACTTATGTAGTGTTCGCTGCAAGCGTGTCCAATTCATGTCCCTCCCCATCGTTCTCCATTTCACCATATTTATCAGCATATTTAATTCACCATAAGAACCTCATCCCCAGCGCAATTACTTACGCACCTTTCTCGCCCTCACATTTACTTCGAAGTATTATTTTTAAGTTGCTACGCAAAAAATTTTTAAGAGCGTTATTTATTTTATTGTTTTCTCCGCAAAAAGGCCAATCGTTACGTTACTATGCGGATGGGCTTAGGAACCTGCTGTACTCCTGCAGCACATAGTGCAGAGCCTGGGTATCGTGGGGGCTCCTACTCGGGGGCAAATCGCCCGTATCCACAGCCGCAGTGACTCATCGCCCCCCGGACTGACCCTGCGGGATCAAAGGCGCGGAGTGGGGGACGGCACGGCCACGAGCGGCGAGGCACCGCCAGCCCAAAGCGCGGAACGCCCGCACCAAAACTCCCCCCTCTGAGTATCTCCGGGGCCCAACGCTCCCCAATCCCGCGCAGCCAACGCTCATTTTCTCACCAGGCGGCGCGAGGAGGACTTGGATTGACTGATTTTGACCATCTCGCCGACTTTCGACGGCGGGTTGGCGATCGGAGCGGGCGGGCCGGGGCGGTCGAGCAGGATGGCGCAGCAGGGCGCGACCGGCGGCGCGGAGGCCGACGGGGACTGGAAAAAGGGGCTGACGATCCCGCCCAAGGACACGCGATTCAAGACCGCGGTGGGTTGTTGCTGCGAGATGTTGGCCTGTCGCGGGCGGCAACGCGGCGGTTGTGAGCGAAGAAGGGCGCCGGTTTGGGCTGAAGGGGCGGGCGGTTGGGGGCAACTATTTAATCAGAATGAAAAATCAGGGCGGCGTGGGATGGTGAAGTCACTAGCCCAGGTTCGGGTAGCGGCTGTTGCGTGTGTGGCCGCCTCAGGTGGAAAAGATGGCGGACAGGTAGAGACGGAAGGGGAAATTGGGTGTGGGGGTGGGTGGGTGGAGGGGGGGGGGAAGGGGTCGGTTGTTTGACGGGTTGGTGGCGGCTGGGCGCAGGACGTCACCGCCACCAAGGGCAACAGCTTCGAGGACTACCTGCTGAAGAGGGAGCTGCTGATGGGGATCTATGAGAAGGGCTTCGAGGCGCCGTCGCCCATCCAGGAGGAGAGCATCCCCATCGCCCTGACGGGCCGGGACATCCTGGCGCGAGCCAAGAACGGCACCGGCAAGACGGCTGCGTTCGCCATACCCGTCCTCGAGAGGATCGACAACTCCAAAAACTCGATCCAAGGTGCCTGCCCCCCTTTCCCCCTTCGTCGTTTGCGGCTCTCGGCCAGCGACGGGCGCCGTCCCGCCCCCGTCCCTGCCGGAGGGATCGAGGGGGGGACGAGCGGGGCGGCGCGGCAGCGGCCTCGGCGGTTCATCTATACCCGCGGGTTGAATGCGCCTTCAGATTTCGCAGCAGAGCGGGCGCGGAACGCCAAGCCACCCCAAATGGCCGCGCCGAACACACCAGCCCAAGTGCCGCGGTGCGTTTGAGTATGCCCTTCCCTTCCCACGAAACCCCTTTTCGTGAATCCACGTGTTGCCGTCGGTTCCTGCAAATCAACCCCTCCCCCCTCCCCTGCCCCACCTTTTGAGGATCGGCAACTTCGCTGACTCTGCCGCCGGGCTTCCCCAGGCATGATTCTTGTCCCCACCCGGGAGCTGGCCCTCCAGACCTCCCAGGTGTGCAAGGAGCTGAGTAAGCACATGGGAGTGGAAGTGGTGGTCTCCACCGGCGGCACCAACCTGAGGGACGACATCCTGCGCCTGGGCGCCACCACCCACCTGGTGGTCGCCACGCCGGGGCGGATCTTGGACCTGTCGCGCCGATCGGTGGCGAAGCTGGACCAGTGCATCATGCTGGTGATGGATGAGGTGTGTGGGGGTGGGTCTGTGGTTGCCGGGACTCTGCCTGCGCTCGCCGCTGGTGGGGCGGGTCGTCTTGCAGTGGCGCCGCTCGGCGGGCGCGGCGGGCGGCCGCCTCTTGCGGTCTGTCGAGTTCTTTCAGGGCCTGTTGAGCTCTCTCGATCTTTCAATCCCTCTCAAGGTTTTTGCAAGCCTTTCAATGTCGACAATCTCTTGATTTGTTGCAAGGTCTTTGGGGGTCTTTTTGATCCCCTGGAGTCATTTTTGGGACCTGTCTTCTGTTTCTGATTCTTTCAAGGTTTCTTGGTGTCCAACATTCGCCCTCAATTTCTTCCAACATCTTCCATTGGCGTTCCTTCTCTCTAAACCTCGATCAGCCCATTTCAAGGCTGCCCATAGCGCCCAAACCAGCCTGCTGAAACGCTTGAATCGCTCGAGCTGTCCTTGGCGCCCTAGAGAGCAGCTCCCGGGCCTGCCGTGCCCCCACCCACCCACCCCTGGATGTGCCCCTGATACATTCTGATGGGTCATGTATCCGGGGTATAGCACGGACGGTGACATACACATTTTTGTCATAACACCGCGGAGAATATATCAGTCCCTCTGTCTTTTTCATGAGGATCCCTTCTTCTTCTGTTGACAATGCCAATGCCTGTCAGTGGGTCAGTGGTTTAGTGCTTAGGCTATCGAAACAAGAAGGGATCTTCATGAAAATACGGAGCTGGTTTGATTTCATGCCAATACCGTATGTAGGAAATCTTCCTCTTCTTCTTTTCCCCTCCCTGACAGCTCGTTGATGCCTGTCGATGGCAGGCTGACAAGCTCCTGTCACCGGAGTTCCAGCCCGTCCTGGAGCAGCTGATATCTTACCTACCGGAGGAACGCCAGATCCTGCTGTACTCAGCGACGTTCCCTGTCACAGTCAAGCAGTTCAAAGAGAAATTTCTCAAGAAGCCGTATCTGATCAATTTGATGGACGAACTGACGTTGAAAGGCGTTACCCAGGTGGGTTGGGAGGGCAGCAGGGCACCTGCTCCATATTCATCTGAGACAAATTGATAATTGATCAAGCCATGTCGATTGTAGTCGACCAGAATACAATCTTGATACCAAAAGCCAGACTTTGGCTGCATGTTGAGGAGTGCTGCTTTGCCATTATTCTGTTCTGCTTGCTTCCAACCTTGTTCAGTGCAATTGCTTGTGCACATTGTGCAAGCAGGTTTACTCTCAGATGCGAACCATGTGCAGATGGATCAATCCATCTGCAGCAAATGTTACTTGTAACTGCCTTTCTTTCTTGTACATTTACAACGAAGTAAGCAATTAAGTATTCATGAGTTAGTCTGCAGCTGATTATATTTTGAAACTGTTTATTTGTAATCAACTGGCTGAAGCAAAGGCATCAAAGATCTCGGTTAGCAAGGGGGGCAGAAGGGTCACAGGGCAAATTTGCAGTATTGTGGATTGAGGTTTGCGTACAATAACAGTTGTGATCACTGACACCTTAGTGAGCTTCTGGGCCTCCTCGCACATTTTGAATAAACGTTCACAGCATTTTGACAGCAAGTCATAATTGGAAGATCAAAAGCAAGAATTCTGTCAGAATTGAGCAAGATTGGTGCCAGAAGTTGGAGCTACGCTGTCAGATTGCATAAAATTGTGTTGTCAACATTCACAGCATGTTCTTCAGCCCAGAATTCAGACCTGGAGCACCCTTGCCGCTGTTCACTTTGGATCTTGTTCCATCACAATACTGTCAGTACTGTCAGTTTTCACTGCTCCTAATGCAGTTGTGTCACTCTCGATCCGAAGTGCATCATTCTACATATTTATGGTACTCACACTCATCCTAAGGCAGATAAGCACTACTGAGGCATGAAAAGTGCTGGCAAAACTTGGAGACCATGACAGTGTAACCACTCGTTGGCTGGTTTCCCGCCAGTGGTCACCAGACTGCAACTCTTGCTGTACTGTCAGTGTTATCAGACACCTGTTGGATGATGTGCGAGCCTGCTGGCCTGGACCCACAAACTGCATCCATGCGATCTGACAGCCACTGTTTTGCAGTTTTACGCTTTTGTGGAAGAGAAGCAAAAGGTCCACTGCTTGAACACACTGTTCTCCAAGGTGAGGCCCGCCTTCCACAGCTGGTTTGTGCCTGCGGATTCTGTGGTCTTACCATCTGCCAGGGCACATTGCAGTTGGGTGCAGCATACAGGGCCTTGTGCAATCATTCCTTGTTCCAGGGCACACCGCAGTCAAATACAATCTGGTCTTTGCATTTAGTGGGTCATAATCGCAGCAAAGGACGGAGTAGAGGGCCATGTGTGCTCGTTGCATCTGCTGGGATGCATTACAGTGTATCACAAAGTAAGGATCCATTTCGCAACTGCATGTGTTCGTGAGGAATCGCGCAAGAGGCAGATTTTTGTTGCTCGGAATCGACATGTTTTGTATGTTGTGTATGTTTTTCCTGTATTGTAGAATGTTGGTAATTCTGCTGGCCTTTAGAATTGACAACTACTGCGGATGCTGCAGCACTGGTCCAGCATCAGGTTAGCCCAAGACTGTGCCTGTCAGTGTTTGCAACTCTCCATGCCATCCCAGTAAATGAGGTCGCTTCTCTCTTCTTTGCCAAGCCATGGACCTGAAATCTTTTATGTACGCTACCCAGCTTGAGATCAACCAATCGATCATTTTCTGCAATTCCGTCAATCGTGTGGAGCTCCTCGCCAAGAGGATCACTGAGCTGGGGTACTCTTGCTTCTACATCCATGCCAAGATGCAGCAGAGCCACAGGAACCGCGTGTTCCACGACTTTCGAAACGGTGCCTGCAGAAACCTTGTATCATCAGGTGTGTCCGTGTGCCCACTTTGGAAGTTCACATTGGCAAGGAGGGCATAGCAATCTGCATTGTATTTTGTGATCAATTTGATCATGATTTCACTAATTTTCTGTTCATTGTATTGTTGTTCTGAGAACAACGATACTGTCGATGCAGTGTTGAGCCATCTGCCCTTGCTGTTGGGTATTATCGAGCTGTACTTCCTCCATCCAAGATTAATTGTCCTCTACGATTTTGGGGCATCACTTATCCATTGTACCTACATCAGTTTCAATGAAATTTCACCAAAATTGTGCTCGAAAGTTTGGAATATACGCCAGAATTTCAAATCAAACCGTTAAGTATTTGAGGATTTGGCAGTACTTTGTATCAAGCGTCTTTTCACCTAGTAAACCTTGGTCTTTGGGGTCAGCAATGACCTAAATGTACCTTGCGCCTAATTTTCCAAAGGGTTGCTTCTCATTTTTCTTATTGAGAATTGGTAGTTGAGGGTTTTGGAACCCAATCTTTCCGATTTTAACTTGTTTTGTAATTTTGAGGCTGTTCTTGCAACGAATTCTGTCTTTGAAGAAGAGGACAATGAATCATGGACGGAGGAAGTGTATTTCAGCTACACATCCTCACAGTTGTTGTTGCCAGTGGACTTCTAAAGTACTGCCAGAAACGGTGCAGGGCAGTGTGAACCAGTTGAGTCCACATCGTGAGCAAACATTTTGCTGACCGCCCCATCAACACCCTTGACAGAATCCTGCATTTGATGCATGCACGTGCTTTGCTTCCCTGCAACCAAGCCCTTGGCTTCCTTGATTCGACTGTAAGATTTGTGTCCTTGCATTGCTGGGGCACTCTGCCCTGACAGCTCTGTGCTGTTGCCGCAGACCTCTTTACTCGGGGTATCGATGTGCAGTCCGTGAATGTTGTCATCAACTTTGACTTCCCCAAGAACTCTGAAACGTACCTGCACAGGGTGAGCATGCCACTGGGTGTCTATTGTTGATGAAGTCTGCAACATCTTCCTCTCAACACTACTGTCCTGAAATGCTTAGGTCAAAACTGGCCCTTAGTTTTGCTGATGAAACCCCAAACCCCAACCTGCAACTTCCATAAGGAAGTACAGCAGGTGGCTGCGTTGAATTCCCATTACCCATGGCCTTCCCTGACCTGGACTTGCATCTGTGGTGTCACTCCGGCTGTGTATATTTATCCAGAAGCACAACCAATCAGTCGTTGTTGACACCAGTCCATTGAGGGTGCTGGCTACTCAGATGGTGGTGTGGTGTATCAAGTACTGCCATCCGGATGCACAGTATGTTGGAATTGGGTGCATTCCTTGTTTCCACTCGCCTCCCAAAGGCATTCCCAAAGGCACTTTGTGGCCAGTAATGGATTAGCATACAGATTCAAGGTGTCTTTCATCCTCATCCGTTCATTTCAACTGATTTTCCCCTGTCTGCAACACTGTATACTAATGGTAGTCAAGGAGAGACAAAAGTGAATTCGAAGTCTTACCTGTGGCCACGACAAGAAACTTCAACCCCTTAGCGCAGTTTTATGTGAGTCCTGAATTCGTATGGCCCCGCATTCTGCTCCCTAGCCCCACTCAACCCCACGTGCTTCCCCTTGCCTGTGTCTGCTGGGTTTGGCTATGGTGTCCTCCTGGAAGCAGTAGTTGTTCAGTGCTACTGGCTGCAGCTGCAACGCCGTTGGCAGCGAGAAGGA